CTAGCTCAAGCCAGATCCTCCAAATCCCGCTCATCCACCACCTCTTTGGCCAAACAAGCCGAATCCGAAGCCAACAAAGCCATTTCTCTTGACCCGAAAGACGCCGCCGCTTACATCCTCAAAGCCCTCGCTCTTGACCTCCAGGGCTACAAGACCTCAGCTCTCGACTCCCTTGACATCGCTCTCTCCCCTCTTGCTGCCAAGTCGTTGACTGATAAAGAACGAGGCGACGCGCTGTTTAAACGGGCTGAGTTGAAGGTGTCTGTGAACCGGCGCGGCGGCCGAGTCGACTCAGCGATCGAGGATTTGACCAAGGCTGTCGAACTGAGTGCGGATAACGGGAAGGCGTTTTGTCTGTTGGGAGAATGTTATGAAATCAAAAAGATGAAAGCAGACGCTAAAGCGGCTTTCGAGGAGGCTCTTAAGGTCGAGCCTAGCTCTAACGTTGCTCGCGCCGCCCTTGACCGGTTGGGCTCCTAGTTGGGTCTTTCCTCCTTTTTGGCGTCCCCTTGTTTTTGACGTCGTCGATCTAAAAGTTTCCAGATATTGTAGCTTAATGGGTTACAATTGTTAGCGTGTTTTGAATCTTAAATTGTTAATAGTTTATCCGAAGAAAGTAATGACATTGAATTTTCTAAAGTATTTGCATGTCTCTAGATCAGATTGGAAAAATTCTCTATTCCATGAATTCTCTCAAACAATTCAACTTCCTTTACTTCTTACAATCTCCTCTTACCCCGTGGAAAAGCATTTCTCAGGAAAAAATAACATTTAATGAGAACTAAAGGAACTCGAAGCCAAGACTTGTTTATATACAGATGTACCTAAGAAGTTCCAACGGGCAGGGTTGAGTTGTTTCTGACTGGGCGCTGGGTACTACCCGGCAAGGGAATCAATGATGCTTGGTTTGACTGGCTCGGTGGTTGAGTCGTTTTAGTTCTGAACCTTGCACAAACGAGCAGAACTGGCACTGCTTCTAGAGGAGCAGGATGTATCCCCAAAGGGAATTGTTACAGTTTCGAGACGCCCGTCGCATATGTCTATCCTAAGCAATGAACATCCCGCTGTTGGTTGATTTTTCACTAATACCCATGCAAAAGAAATTAGTGGAAGACTTAGAAACTCAACTCCACGCGTGACCCACAGAGTGGGATAGGCTAGGCCAACCCCAGTTACGTTTTTTACCAGAATAAGAGACTACCTGATCAAGAAAAAGTCCTACTTGCCTTGGCTTATTGCAATCTTGTCCTGTATTAAGTTGATCATCTGATCTGAGAGAGCAGAAGCACTCACTTGCTGCATTTGCTTTGAGTATAGCTTGAAAGAAGGCAGAGAGTAAATCTGAACAAGGGTAGAAAAGGAGGATAAGAAACGAAAAGTTTCTATAATGGCATCAAAGTTGAGTAGCTGGAGTAGAGATATTTATCTCTGTGCTCTGCTTGGGGTGCTTGTATATGTTGCCTTCAGCACATGTTTCCATGGGTTAGAAAACAATTTAGAGGAACAGAAGAAAGCTCATCTGGCAAAGAACTCGGGTGAGTATAAACTATAACCTGATTTTGTAAATGCAATTTTCAATTCTCTCAAGAAGCAATATGAACAACATGTCAAAGCCTGAAAATCCTTCAAACAAAGTGAGGGGTAAAATGAAAAATGGTCGTTAATTTAATTTTTCGACAAATTTCTCTTCCTACGGATTACTGCAATTTAGTTTTCTGCATTCACTAGTGATTGAAATTTGCCGCAGCTCAACAGCATGGCATCGCGGCAAGAAACATAAGTGATGGCTTCACAGCTTTGGCAATCCAGTTCCTCAATTTTTTCCTGGCGAAATGTTTGCAGTTCAGAGACCTCCCTGTGCTGCAGCCTGCTCCTTCTATGTCTATACCATTTTGGCTAGCATGTATGCAATCAATCTCCAATCAGCCTTCGTAATAACATATCAAGGCATCACTGTATGGTAGAATAAAGTTAAACATGATTTCTCCATATTTTATATTTATCATTTGCCTTGTCAAGTTCTCATGAGAACAACTTGATTTAGCATGCTTCTCTTCCTTTTTCCAAGTAATGTGCAGACAGAATAACATATACATTGATTTCATAGTTCATAAAATGTTCAACTTCTCTTCAGTACTAGTCAATAGTCATTCCAAATAAATCAGCAAAAACCAATGAAATTACTTTTGTTGCCATTTTCTGGGAATATCATTGTCGCTAAGAAAAATTACTAGTGAATGTGATTGGATTGAGACAAATTCTTATATTTTGTGACTACACAAGGAACAAGAAGGACGTTTAACTTTACTTGTATAAACTAAACAAGTCCTAATACACATATAATCTGTTGTAGATGAAATAAGTTACTGCTTGCAATTTTGAAAGTCAATTAGTACAATTGTTTATATACTATTACCAATGCATAGTAACATTAGCTTTCTTACAGTAATGTTTATTAGAAATCTTCCTCTGCCTGTAGCCTCTTTCTTCTTGATCCTATAACATGAATATAGCAAAAATTCGGTATCATTTCAAGGTGATGATTGAAATCAAAGGGAGGTGTTTGGAGTCCAAGGAATCTATGGGGCTAGAAACGTACTATGCAAAATTAAAAGGGTTTGACTAAGTTTATGATTATTCTGTTCGAGGTTGAATTCGTGCTCAACAAGACTCAAATCTGTTACTTACCAACAATTTCTTTATATTCAAATGACATAAAATTATAATGAAACATGTATAAGCAATACATATTTTAATATGGCAAAGCACCGGTTGCTTTGAAAAACTGAATGAACGTCTCCTCCACCTCCCCCAATTTAGTTTTTTGACCCAAGAAGCATCCTGTTAACAATTCTAGATTACTAAAAATTATAAACTGCAGCATGACTCAGCAAAGTAGCTCAGTTTCTGATCGGATATATAAGAGGACTATGTGGTCCTTTTGGAAAACGCAGAAGCTTGTCCTCTTCATTGCTATAGAGAGAGGTTGCTTCAAGTAAAAGCAAAGAAGAATTTCCATCAACAATGGCATCGAAATTGAACAACAATATGAACAAGGCTATAATTATCCACGCCCTGCTTGGGCTGCTTGTTGGTGTCATTGCTCGCACATATTTCCATGGGTTGCAGGACAATGTGGAGGAGAATGAAAGCTACCTCGGACAACATTTTGGTGAGTTTAATGTTGGATGTTTTTGATACTCATAACCTATATGTCAATGCAATTCTCTCTTTCTGATTCCCATCGTACCAACATCCTGTCATTAATGTCGACTTGCAGATGAACTTGGTGGTACTGTGGCAAGAAGTATTCAGGACGGTTTTGTTACTTTGGCAGTCAAATTTCTCCATTTCTTCATTTCGAAGTGCTTGCAGTTCAGATATTTGCCAGCGCTGCTTCTTGCGCCTTCTGCAATGTCTCTGTTATTTTGGGTAGCATTTACTCTATCGATCTCATCAATGCCCAATAATCCTCTGTAAATTATGCCAGTACAGTTTAAACACATTCTTCTTGGTCCACTGCACATAACTTTCTCTGGAAATACTTAGAAGCAGAATGGGGGGGAGAAAGCCGACAGGTTTGATTGAGGTTGGCGACTTGGCAGATCGTCATGGTGAAACCGCACCAAGGCAGCAAAGCCTACCAATCCATTAATGGTTTTTCTGTCAAGGCAAAGGAGATTGGAAAGCTGCACAGGGTCTGTCAAGTTGTTCCAAATTGTTGGCAAAGAAAAAGCGATATCAATTGAAAATAATTCATGGAATATAAAGTGGAATTTTAATCCTTTCTCTTTTAGTCTTTCTGAATCTTTTATGTTCACATCACCTAAGAACGAGTCTGTGGTTTCTCATTTTCTAGCTTCTAGCCATGAATTTATGAACATTAATCTTGGTCAGCAGCCCTTCTGAGCTGACCCTCATTGCATATAACAATGGATACTAAGCTGAATATAGATCAGCAAAGGGTCAACATTCCACACTAAATCAGCAACATTCATATCAAAGCTCTCTACATAAGCTGATGGCCTAATAAAAGTATAATTTCTGCAATTTCTTTTGTTTTAATGTTATCAAATCAAAGGATGATAAATAGAAAGTCTTAATTTGGGTAGGAACCAAACAGAACTCTAAATACAGAGATTCATTTGGCACTTACCCCATTCTTGAAACGCTATGTTATTTGACTGGGAATTGGAGATACTGCTGACAAGAGCACTGGCACGAAATAGATAACAAAGTTAGGACAAAGGAAAAAGTAGTATGCAAATTGATCACAATTCATGTTTTCACCCTATTAAAAAGTTCATGTATAGGCCCTTGATTTCATGCACCAGTAAGATTGGTATCAGATTATGATTCAATGCACCTTTGAATGGTACTTTATTTACTGCTCTTTGGGATGGGTCGTCTTGGAACTATTCTGTACTTATATTTTTCTTACTATATATAAACTCTCATGAACGCGTACAAAAAGAAAATTGTCACGTTGATATTTCTTTCCTTAATTCAACAAAGAAAAAAAGCAAAAGTAATTATTCCGAAGAAATCTATCACAATATTCAGAGGCCCACTGCAATTTTTTTGTATTTTCTTCTTTCGGTTGAACACGAATTATCAGTGTATAGTAGTTTATGGTTATATCCTTAATGAACCGATCCATGTGTTTCCCATTCTTATACCTCACTTAACAGCACAAAGTAACAAGCAGTTTGCTAATATCATGGCAAAAGATCGTATACCTGGACCTGGGGATTAGAAAGAGCAGGAAAAAGTGACCATGAAAATAATCAATTCAATTTTAAGCCTGAAAATACAAAATATTAATTTGCCATAGTCTAAACTTAACTAGTATATATGCTGTTCTTCCATAATGCATGGTCATGGGTTATCTTTCTTAAAGATCATCACTGCACTTGTATCAAAATTCCAAGTAGGCAAACCATTTTTCTTCAAGGAAATAAAGGGACTTGATTTGATCTTGGAAATAGTCGACGAAGCCCCTTTGGGATCATATGGGCTGTTAGTTTGAAATAATCAAAATATTGGAAGCACATGAGAAAATGATGAGTTTGGGGTCCAAGGAAAATACAGAGTTGACAACGTATTCTACAAAACAAAAGGAGGCTCTATGATTAATGCTGTCAGTGGTTGACTTCGTGCATAGCAAGCTTCAAATCAAACCATCTGTCCATGTTCTTTATTTTGAAAACAACATATATTTAATGAAACACAAAGTACTTACAATTTCATTTTCGATAGCAAATCCCCAGTTTCTGAGCAAGTTTGTTGAGAGGAATTAGACCAAGGAAGCTTCCTGCTATCAAATTATCTTGAAAAGTATTGTTTATAATAAATGAAGCAAATCAACTCGCTTCTGATCATGTATATATAAGAGTAATCTGAGATCATCGTAAAAGCAGAAGCGCACATATTCATTTCAATTGAGTTGCTTCAGAAAAGTCAGTCCAAGAAAACAGTGCAAGAGATTAAGTTCCAAATTTATAATGGCATCCAAGTTGAATAACATGAATAGAGCTACAGTTTTCGTTGCCCTGCTTGGGCTTCTTCTTGGTGTCTTAGCTCGCTCGTGTGTTCAGGGGCTGCAGAAGAATGATGGGAATGGAAGCTACTTTGGACAACAATTCGGTGAGTTTTGCTGTTCATAGTCCTAAAATCCTGTCTGTCTCGTATGCATAATTGTTAAGGGGAAGAATAGAGATGTGTCATTCGTTTTTCCTTTGTTGATTATACTAACATTTTGCAATTGGGATTAGCAGATGAACTATGCAATAACGTGTGTACCAGTACAAGTATCCAGAATGGCTTCGTCACTTTAACAGTCAAATTCCTCCATTTCTTCATTTCAAGTTGCTTACAGTTGAGATATTTGCCAGCGTTGTTTCCTGCGCCTTGGACCATGTCTATGCCATTTTGGGTAGCATTTACTCGATCAATCTCATCAATGCCAGACAACCCTCTGCAACAACTTTTGATTCATCTTTGACTTTCCGCCAATGCTGTATTCCGCCCACATGCGCCCTCCTGACTGAGAAGGGAAAGAGAAGAAGAGGGGAGGAGGGGGAAAGGGGGAAAGGTTTGGGTTGGCATGGTGATGTAGGTGAATTTGAGTTAAAACAAATTACTGTGACAGCATAGTCCAATCCAAGTTTCTGAGAATGCAAAGCGAGGCAATTAATTGCAAGGCATAAAACTGTAAAAACCAAAAAGAACTGTAGTTTCTTCTGGTGGGACATTGATGTATGGTTACAAACTACAGCCAATCATCTTACCACATACAAAAACAATTGGTCAAACTTTAATTCAATGTTTATGAACGACACTTTTTCAACACTATAACATCATCTTCAATATATTCTCATGTTACAATAAAAAATTCTGCTATTACAACAAAACTATGGTAAGGTTGGGGACTAAAGTGGATCTGAGACGGAGAAAAGGTATTGAGATAGCAAATTGAAAATCAATCCAATAGTTCCCCATCCAGCCGCTTTAGTTTCGGCAGAACCTTGACCAGAATTGACTTAAACTTCTCATCAGCAATTGCATTCCCTACAATATCTAATTGCTTCAAGCTCAACTCTTTAAATATAAAAAAAGCCTCCCAATAATTAATAAGAGCAACGCCACTGATCACGGTTTCATCCTTGTTCCATTCACTTCCAACTGAATGAGACAAAGGAGAAGAACACAAGTACCTTGTTGTGTCAATAGAATGTTCACCGATCTCGTTGTATGAGATATCTAATACTCTTAATGACTTCAGTTTTCTCAAAGGCTCCAGAGCAGTCAAACTTCTCAGTTTATTGTTTCTCAAACTTAAGCAAGAGAGGAGCTGCATAGCTTCCAATCCTGCCAATTAAATTATTGAAAATAACACATTCAGTCAAAGTCTAAATTTATAAAAGTATTATCTGAGAACAGAAGTATAAAGTTTCTACTCTAAGTTCATATGAACAACTGTAGTATCAGGTGACTATGAGTCACTTAGCAAACTACAAGTATAAAGGGAAAATAAAGGCCCAAACAAGGAGCATCATGCATAGTTTACACTCACATGAATTCATTATTTATGTAATTTTAAAAATAAAAAGGCGTGGAGTGGGAATACGACAACAGAAAATTTGTAAGAAACACTAAGGGCAGCTCAAGTATAAGGAACTTATTGAATAGCCTCCAATCAACACACAATATTTTAAACATCAGTGTAAGTATGTTATACCTTCGATTGATCGTAGTTCATTTTGGCTGAGATCTAACATTTGGACCCACAGTAATTTCTCAAAAGCTCCCATTTGTGATAGCGATAAATTATTCAGCCGGAGACAGATAGGATTGCAAATAGATGATGAAACTGAGTCTTTATACTGAAAGCAGTGTTTCAGCAAAGACTCCCGACTAGAAGTCACCTACAGAATAGATAAATAAAAGATTTTTCGTTAGTCTCCATGTAAATCTGACAATTTACACCAAAAGTTAGAATGAGAGTCAAAACCTACATCATATCATCGCTGGGGGTCAAAAAAATGTAACAACTGAGAGGACCAAATATGCACAGAAACTTTTCTAATACTTAAGTCTAGCTATCCGGTTAAATTGGTTTTTTCTCCAGAAACTACTAATTCAAATAAACATACATTTAACAGTTCCTCATGTTTATTCTCTGTTCTACTTGTTTCTCCCCCATTGACAAACAACAATTCATTGGACTAATCTAACATCAAGAACACCCAGATAGGGTAACCTAACAAGTACAACAATTATTATAAAGCTGCAAAAAACACCTGGCTACTGATACAAAACCTCAGAAACAACACTAATCCAACACAAAAGCTTAAATGATGATGCTTTTCATGACCAAATTACTGAGGAAATAACGTACTCACCTGCTGTAGGAAGACTAAGCTATGTTCATCCTTGTAGTATTGGTAATGTGATGTATCCAACTTCATCAAATCATTATACAGTTCAAGAACTTCTTCTGAATGAACCAGTTTGTTAGCACATGAAAATGCCATTACATCATAAGCCATCAACAATCTTGCAAGAGTAAGCTTTCCAATTTTACTACAAAGAAACAGAGTAAAAGAGAAAAAGAAGAGGCACTGTATTAAAAATGTTGCTTCTTAAACTTTAATAAGGTACTGATTAAGTTAAGCAGGCTTACCAATCCATCAATGATAACAATTCACGGAAGCATTCAATCTCTTTAGCTATAGCCTCTGCACGCCAGCTAGATGCAGTTGGTTCATGATCATTCTTGATACTTAGTTCATCAAAAGAGACAATTGGAATTGATTCCTGAGTTTGTCTTCCATAGACCTTAAAATCTTCTTCTCTCCATGATATATTTTCTGCAACTGAAGCTTCAGAGAAATCTCTTTCGACAGGCTGTACACAAACTTTAAATGAAAATGTTGACGGATAGCTATGTTGAGACCCTTTTGATGAAATGATTCCCTTAGAATGTCCAACACTAACTTCCACTGAGGAATGAAACTCTGAAGTTGGAAATTTTAAATGTGCAACCCAAACTTGTGCAGTTTGTGAGTTACTTGCTGAAAGTGGTTTCCAAACAAGATCTTCATTTTTATTAAATCCAGATTCAACAGTAACCGTAGATGAGCTTACACCCTCAACAGATTGATTAAAATAAAGAACAACTGGAAATGACCCTGAATCAGAATGCAAAGTTGTGAATGGAGAAAAAGCAGAACCATTATGGCACCTATCTTCCAGTAGAAAGAGATCAGAACCATGAGCAGGCCAAGAAGAAACAAGAAGAGGAGAGTCATCTTTAACTGTTTGGTCTAGAAGCCAAAGATGATAAAACCATCCACTTTGATCATCAGGGTCTGTAAATATAGCTTGGTGTATAAATTCATACTCCTCTGGCAAGACCTTCTCTTTGGAGAGAAACCCTTCAGCCTTTTCTTCAAGCAAATTGGACAGTAGTACACTGCAGAAGTTATTCAATACAGTATGCATCATCAGCAGCCATATTCAGCCTAGAGAGAAACATTATATACTGACAATGACCATGGTATTCATGAAATAGATAAACCAATTAGAGCCAAAGTTCAACACCAAATACCATATCACTGAAGGGAAATTAAATTGAATTGCTAGAAATCAATACGCTTTGTGACTGCTGCTATACCCCAAAATAAAGCAAGATCACTGTGGCAAACATCCACAATCAACTAGCAAAAATAACTAATTTATATGATGAAATGAAGAATTGGCATTCACTTCCCATACATGCAACTAAAACACCATAAAAAACATTTGGACCTTAGAGTTAAAGAAACAGTTTTACCTGCGATTATGCCACGCCGAGTAGTTGCTAAAATTCGTATAAATCATATGCTCCGTGTACTTCAATTCATCTTGTTCTGATCTGTTCATCAATTCTGCAACAAATCTGGGAAGAAGAACAAAAAGAAAACAACAGGGAAAACACGAACGGCACAAAAATAAGAATCGCCCACACATTCAAACACCAAGAATAACAACAAAAAAGCCAAAGTAGTTTCACCTCCTGTAATTCCATGCATGAAAATTACGAGAATCAGCCTTCTGGAACTTGTCCAGCAATCTCAGTTCGTGATCAATCAATGAATGCCCCTTGCTTAGAATCCATTTACGATGATGCCACGCTCCATATGACTTAAAATTTTGCCTCAATGCACTCTCAACCTTAACAAATTCATTTAATCAATACACTCCAAATAAAAAAAAATACTTTTTTTCCTCCATACAAAGAAAGAAACAGAATTCCAAAAGAACAAAGAAAATACTTTCATAAAACTCAGCTATCATTCAGGTCCTAACTAAGCCAAAGTTAAAAAAAAAAAAAAAAAACTTCTTTCTTTTTTCCTTAATTTTTTGACAAAATCACATTAATTAAACTAAACAGTGTAGTGAAATCCGAATCTTTCCAGTAAGTAAGCGGCCCAATAAAACGTACCACTCTGAGTTCGTCATCAAGAATGGACTTGACGGAGTCAGGATTAGACTCGGGCTGACTGAGATGGTGCTCAACAGCGAGTTTTCTATAGTTCCAGGCGGTGTAGGATTCAGGATTGATCTCTAATAGCTTGGCACTAAGTTCAACAGCTTCCTTAGTGTAACTGACATATGAAAAATTGAAGTAGCCAGATCAGAGATATTGTTACAGAAGATTTGAAAATGGAAAAATAGAGAAACAAAAAACGAAAGTACATTTTGTTGTGGTGAAAGGAGAAGAATTGAGATTGGAGACTGCGTAGCTTCTTGGCTTTGGCAGCCGAAGCTGCCTCGTCCTCTGGTTTGGGTGCTTTGCGAGGTCGACCGTGCATTTTTTCCTCGGCTTTGCGGTTTCTTACGGAGGAGGAGAGCGTTGATAGTAACGAGAAGCGGCCTGGCTGTTTGGGCTTGGAAACCAGTTGCCCGTGTTACTATGTCAAGCACTACAGCTGACTCAAAGACACCCCGACCCCGAGTTCGGTGACATAAGCAAAAGGATATTTTTAATTAAATATATGTATTTATTATTAAAGTAAATATTTATCAATTTAAGAACATATGTAGAATCATATTTTAAGCAATATTAGTATTTGTTTCATTATTTTTTTAAGATATACTTATTTAGTATATAATAAATCAAATTATATTTATCATATAATTTAAATAATTATGATTTAATTATATAATAAAACTAAAATCAGATAATATCAAGCTAGAACTAAATTTCTGAATATATATATATATATATTTTATAATAAGAGAAAATGAGATTCGAATTTGTTTTTTTAAATAAGAAATCATGCACCAATCAATGTACCAAATATTCAAATGTATTTTTAAATGAATACTTGATTTATAACAAAACTAGAGTTTAACTCTTGAAATAAAAAAAAATGGCATGAGGAAGTATAATAATGTTCATGGTACAAACATTCAAGTCTTCAAAGGATTATGGTAACATGATGCAAAACCGTAAAGTAATGACACCTTAGATTATATAGGCCAAAACTTTTTTGCCAATACAAACAAAAGGCTTTTGCAAAAGCTTTCATTCCTTACATGCTTTGTGGGTTGGAGTGGGAAAATATTGCTGGGCACATAGCATGATCAACTGGTTCACGCAAAGGAGATGAACCACAACACATGGAAGATTGAAAACAATGGGTTCACTATCCTTACAGAAACAATAGGATGATAGACACTGCATTGAATGCAAGAAGATGTAAGTTGCTCTTCATTACTCAAATGCATGCATTTGAATCCACAATAACGGCACTCATATCTGGAACCTGCTGCGAATTTCCCAATTTACAAATAATATAAAAATGAAAAATATTGAAGCAAAGAACAGCAACTTGAATTTACTAATTCGTGCAAAATTCTCAAGGTGTCTGTAAAGAAATCTGTTAAGAGTCCTGATTTGTCCTATTCGCTCCATCCACTGTTTTCTCTAGTCGCAAAATTAAATCCTGGCAATCAAGCCAGCCTCTACATCTTCTAGGCACTATGCTTGGCCTGCATTTGCATGGATCCTTTCTACTGCTTGGTTTAAGCCAGTCATGATTTTTGAAGCCTCCATCTGACTCAAAGAGGAATCGTTAACCATTGAAGCCACCTCAACACCATCAGTCACTTTAACCAAAGCAGTTACATCTGCATAAACCATGGACGAGTTTCCCACATCTGGAGCCTCATGATTGCAATGAATACAATTCACAGCTCTTAACTGACCATTTTGAGAATTATCAGCACCCTGGGGAGGCAATGCAACTTCTGCAGAAGGCACTCTCTCTCAATCAAATCACTGTCTAGCTTTGTATCCTGGAGATTCCCCACCACTTCTGTAGCTAAGGTTTCAGAACTTAGAGAATTAGTTTGAACCCATTCTGATTTTACTGGATCATCCATACCAACAGCTGAATTGTCTGTACCTTTGTCTTGAGAATAATCAACATTGTTCCCAGAGAGTTTTGCTTTCAACGTTTTCTTCTTGAATCGACCTTTCTTTGCCTTAGGAACATTCACAGTCTCCTCAGGATTACTAGTGTCTCCATTGCCCTCTTTCTGCAAGGAATAACTGTTAGCTGAGAGTTGCCAACTGCCTTATTAGATAGTTCTGAAGTACTTGACTGTATAGCCAATAAAGAAGTTCTGGCAGCTTTGATCTCTGCTTCTTTTTTGGTTCTTGCCGCAGCTCCAATATACCGAATGCCTCCAATCTCAACTGTACACGAAAAGTGAGGCGCTCGACCTGGTGCTTCGTCCTTCTGGCACTGGTATACCGGAATTGCATAATTCATCTTCTGTGCATACTCCTGTAGTAGATTTTTGCACAAGCCGGTCTCATGCTGAAGCAGACATCCACAGGAGAAGGTCAGCCATGAACAAGAATTTTATTTATGAGAAGCCACACAGCAAACTAAACAAAGTGTATAAATCACAACGATACCAGCGGCTTAATTTACTACAAGGTGATTCAGCAACTACATAACAAACTTACAAGATTTATCATTACAGGCTACAACCTCAAGTTATGTAATGTAACATAAGAACGTCTTTTAAAAGGAAAACGCCACCACTCCATGGATTTGGTAACCTAAACCACTACAAAGAAATAAAGAAACTTACAACAGGTTGAGAGATGCTTTGGTTAACTTCACCAGACTTTAACAACTCCATGAGAGCAACTTCAGCAGCTGACTGCTCTGCTGCCTTGCGATTAAAAAATCCAGGCAAGGAATCATGTCTAACATCATTTACTATCACTGTTGATCTAAAAGAGGGTTCATGGGAAGGGCCTTCCTTGATAGTCTCATAAACAGGTGTGGGAAGACCCACTTTTTGTGCATACTCCTGCAATCGGCTCTTGAAAACATAGCAATTCGAAACACCTGGTGATAATAATAAAAGAAATTGACAACAAAAGTAAGTAGCACTCCCACTTAAATGGGGAATGAAGAATTCTGTGAACATCATAAGGAACAATCTCCTAAAATAATCAGCCAGAAAGACATAATTCCAACATTGCACTTAAAATGTAGAGCTTTGAAAAAGTTTCCCAGACAATCATCTAGGGCAAGGAACATAATCTTTTAAAATACTCTTTCCCAAACAGGAGTATGAGCTTCATAATTCATCATACCATAAAAATTGAATTCTTTCCAACAAAATATCCTCTTTCGCAATACCATTTACCATCTATCAAACAACTATGTATGCACACATAGATAAATGATAATTACTAAAATTAGATATAAATATAAATATCAATATCGAAAATGATAAACTGAAGCTCTTCCAAGCTCGTTCCAGTGATAAACAAGAAGTTTGATTCCAAAGAAACCCAGTTCAGAATCAAAGGGCTGATTTTATTTATTTGGAAGGGAGATTAACACGGGTGTTATATAAAAAGAAATTTCCTCCGAGTAAATAAATTTTAACCAAAAAAAATTACCTGAGAAGTTCTCGTTGGTGGGCATGGCTTAATGTGACTCTTGAGATTTCTCTGGGTAGTTGAAAATTCAAAAAAAAATGAAAGAAAAGAAAATAAATTTATAGAGCTGAGAAATTGAGAGGAAGAGACAGTAAACCTTTCCTAGCAGGGGAGTAGAAGGGTTTCTGTAAGTGTCCTGGAAAACTCGCGTGCACATGAGTTAATGGAGGTGAGAGATCATGGCCGTACAATATCTGATATCGGGTTGTTAACCGTACGAAGAGAGTATGATTGTTACAATTTTTTTTTCTTTTTTTAATTATGCTGTTGGGAAATGAATGTATTATTATTCACCTTAAAGTGGCACAAAATTTGGTTCTATTATTTTTCCATTGCAAAAATATTAAATACTAAAATTATATAAAATAAAATGCATGGAATTCATATTTTTGCTGCAAGCCTGCGAGAGATGGTTTGGGCCGTTCACCTGGGATGATTCCCAAAGCCTGCATTTGCAATCTCTCATGGACCAAAGGAACTACTGTAGCCAGCTCAAGCCGGTTGTCTCACTCCAAGCCCAATCCATTAATGATTTAGGAAAATGGAGGGAGTGCGCGGGGGAAACAAAGAAGAAAATTTCTGCAAAACCGAACTCTAAAAATACAGTGAAATTATACAACTTTGATCATATAATCGTCGTTTTGAACTCACAGGTACGTTCAAAATCGCTTCTTCTTTTGTGGGTATTTGATAATTTTTATTTTCAATTTATGAATTTGGAGTCCAAGGTTCAAAATTTCCATGGTGATTTTTTGTTCGAATTACCATAGGGTTTCTACTCTGCCTGTTTTATACTGACGTTTACTTGTTGGAACAAGTTCATGTCGAGTCTCAACAGCTCTTTCCATTAGCTTAATAGGATTTTCTTTGCAGCTTTTTGGCATGGTTCAAATACTTGTTTGTTATCAGAAACCAACGACAGAAAAAGCTTTTTTCAATGGATAACTAAGATCAGGAATCTAGGGGGGTTTATAAATGCTTATGGTTTGCTGGAATCATATGAGTTTTGCCGTAATTTTAAACCATGGTTCTTACAGCTGTTCTTAATTATACAACTAATGCTTTTGGTTTTTGTAAATTAGCCCTGTAATGCCAAAAAGAAAAGATACTTAGCTTGCGGAAATATTGTTTTTGGAAGTGTATACAATGGATTCTCGTACTAGATTTATAAGATTGTTTAGAGTTATAATTGAGTTGATGTAGAGCTTAGAATGTTGAAAGTCATACCATGTTTTCATGCATGGGAACCGTATAGATGAACACACGAGTGTTTCCTTTTATTTTGCTTGGCAATATCGTGATTCAGATGTGGGTTAATTCATTTGAGCGTTGCCCCCTTTGTTTCAGATAAATGGATGAATCTGAGAAAAGAAAGGAAAGATTGAAAGCAATGCGCATGGAAGCTGCTCAGTCTGAAGTTCCTAATAATGTTGAGACTTCTTCGGTGCCAGGCCGCCTTTCTAACCCATTAAGTGAGACATCATCAACTGTGACAGTGCAGGAAGCCTTTTGTGCAACTCCACGATTTGACTATTACACTGACCCTATGGCAGCATTTTCTGCTAACAAGAACAGGGGCAGGGCAGATAATCAGAGTACACAAAATTATTTTACTCCCCCAACTGCTAGTGGCTGGCCGGTGGCAAGGGTTTCACCATCCCATCCAGGTAATTTGTCTTCCCACCAATGTTAGTATCTAAAATATTGATCTGTCATGTACCAATATATATTTAAAATATTGACACATTCTGATTTGATTTGAATTATTGAGCTGATTATGTGATAAATGCCTGTTGATAACAGTCAGTGCATTACATTTCTCGAATTTTTCATTTAACATCATTTGATAGTCTTTCCATTTTTCCAACAATAATATTGATCAATTTATTCTGATTTGGCAGGACCAAGGAACTATGATATGAATCCACATGTCCGTGACATGCAGAGCCAGTATTCACTTGATCAGAGAATGTACCATCAACTAGGTCCTCATAGCAACTTTGCTGCTCATAGAAGCCCAATAACAAGTCCTTCACACATGCATCATGGCAATCCTGATGCTTGGAATGGGTCCCAAGCATTTGCTAATTATCATAGTTCTGCTTCAGATGGAAGCCCAAGAGGAATGTTTGGTACTCCTCCGATGCATCCTGGAACTTCTCCTAGAGTCTGGAATCCCTCTAATGCATCATGGGACAGTAATTCACCTACCCCTGGCTTTTCACCAGCTGATATCCCTTATGGAAGAGGCAGGCCTCAACAGTTTGGTAACTATCCACTCCCCAGTCCAGGACATGGAGGCAGTCTTGGTCCTAGCCTAGGACGAGGCAGGGGACGTGGATATGGTGGCAGCATTACTCATGGAATTGGAAGGAGTGGCAGACAAGGGCTAGGTTTTCATGGTCATAGTTCAGCATCAAACAGAACGATGGGGCCAGAGTCTTTCTATGATGAATCCATGTTGGGAGACCCTTGGCAGCATTTAAAACCTGTTCTATGGAGGAGAAGGGAAGCTGGAATGGATAGTTTGAGTAACCCTGACTCTTCAAATGCCTGGCTTCCAAAATCCATTAGTGCAAAAAAGGCGAAAGTGTCAGAAGCTTCAAACAAGTTTAATTCTCAACCGAGTCTTGCAGAATACCTTGCTGCTTCATTCAATAAAGCTGTTGAGGATACACCAAATGAATGAAAGTTGTGCGCTTTTGAAATGAGAGCCATGTAGAAGGTATCTGTCATGACAATTTAGCTGATAATTGGATGCACATGTAGATGCTTGAGGGTGGTGCTGGCTGAAGGCTTAAAGAAGTTTCCATATTCACTATTAGAATGTAGTTCAGAGAAAGTATTCCTTAGACCAACATGTTATAATCGTCAGAATTAATAGCTTCTATCAACTTTTAATGAAGCTGCATGTCTTTGATTTCTTTCTTTCTTTTTTATAAGAATATCTGATTCT